GTGCTCTTTGAGCGCCTTTAATTCGCATTTGTGATAATAACATTGAACATCATTTAGACCATAACTGTTCTTATTGTAATTGGGACATTTGGMTTTTAATAATTTGTGACTGTAAGAAGATTTGTAAAAGGGTGCATATTGCTAATAATTGAATCCTATGTTGTTAAATACCTGTGATGCTCACTTTGTGGATCATAGTGACCTTGCTCCTTAAGTTGGTTAAGAGAAAACTTCTCCAATCTCTCATGGAGTTCCCTCCACCATCTCTCAATCTGCAAATGAAATGATGTTCTAGCCTTTTTATTACTATGCCACATATTGGACTGATTTTCAATAACCCATGAAACAAAAGTGTGATAGGTAAACTAAAATTTTAGTTTAAAAGTGTTACACGACAAAAAGACACAAACAAAGAAAAAAAAGACCTACAAAAAAAAGAGTGAAATACAAACAAATGAATGTGAATTGGATGCATTTGAGTGTACTTCATGGGTTATAATTACTGAAAACGACTTTGGCACAGTGTCCATACACTGATGAGTATGAATTTTCACYTGGTTTGAAGTTGAAGGCCCATAGATAACTGTATCCACTGGGTTCATATCACCATGATAATGCCTGAGATATGCATGAATTGTTGCTAGAACAACAGTTTCTGTGCCTTTATCAACTCTCAATCTTTTTGCCATAGTTCTTGTCTTAAATAAATGTTCGAGGTAAAGTCGTCCTATCAGCAATGGATTACTGTTGCTTATCCAGACTTTGGCCCACAACACCTTCCTGCTGCATGTGTCGATGCAGCCATAAATGGCGATCGGAAATGTGCTGTTTTGATATCCCATAAGTTTATCGTGGCCATCGAGAGAATGCACATTATTTGGACCAGGGGACGTAAAATGACCTTTTTCTTTTTTTTTCTTAAACTGTGGAGCTCTTCTTTCCAAAGCAACGGGATCTAAATTATACATCACTGCATGGACGACGTCTCTTGGGACTTTTAGATCATATGCTTGCCTTAACTTTTTGTGTAGTGCACGGTACCCAAGCAAACCACCAGGTCCTTGCATTTCAGTTTTAACTGCAGTCGTGATCTCACTGMCAGTAACGTTGTGATCAATATACTTAATACCGAAGTAATCCAGCCTTCTGTCAAGAGTTCTCAAGCTCCAAGAATATGATGAAAAATCTCTCGACACAAAATTTAAGATCTCCTTCCGGAAAAGACTCTCTTTCACATAACGTTCCAAAGCTAATTTCAATTGTTGATCCTCCTTCCATCGGTCATTCCTTATTCTGACCGCCATTTTTAGTCGGCGYCAATTTGAGTCGGCGCGAAATTAAAACCTCCGCTGACCAAATACCCACGTGTATTCGCTTGTAATCGACARCGGACATCAACAATGATTRTAGACGGAAAAAGAAATGATCTTAAAGCTGAGTTAATGTATGTCCAGCATTCTCTGTACTCAGGAGAGCCCAGCACTTTAATAATACCCAACTGGAGTTCAGCTTTTGATTATCGTTCCGATGAATTCCTAGAAGAAGGTCAAGAAACCTATAACCCTCTTCTCGATAGATTCTTATTGAGTGGCGTTGAGGTAAATCAAACTGTCTACCTAGAAAGAACTACCGAATCAAAATTTTCATTTGGAGCAGTTCAAAATATTCCTAGTGAAGCTGCTATTGTGCATGGACCCGAAGTTATAAATGGCTACGATGATGAAGGGAATCTACTTCTTGGCGTTATARCTAGTGTTCATAACAAAGTGGGTTTGATGTACAAGTGGTWTCGTAACGGCCAAATTATATTGAACGGTTCTAAGCTGTGCCTTATAGTGATAAATGAGCCAGGAGCTTATTTTTGTATTGTTGAATCTCAAGAGATTGATATTAAATCTGCAACCGTTAACGTTGTTCAACAAGCTCGAAGGTTAGTATAGTGCGATATCATCGGTCAGGGTCATATTGAACAAAMCTCTTCTCACTGCCATGGCTTTGCATTCATTTTGATTTTTTCGTCTATGGCTCTTTATTTGTCGGTTCTCCATCAAGTATGCATGTATAAYAATAATAATTAATACCAAAAGCTACAGAGTGAGTGAGCCAAATCTGTGAAACACACTTTAGTGCCTACTACACCATGTCCATGAAATAAAAAAAAAGTTACTACCTTACTACTTGTTTAGTGACTGTTAGTGACTATCATTCAACTGGAACAGTCTTAGTAACATTACATTCTGTACACTTGAGAGAATCGAATACAAAGGAAACAACACCTCATTACAACTGTTCCAGGTGAGCGATGGCAACTATAAATGGTCACTAAATAAGAACTATTAGGTAGTAACTATTTAGATATTATGTCGTGGACATTCTGTAGAGTCGTTTTGATTAACCCGTGAAACACGCTTTAGGGTATTTATCACTATTACACTTTGGCTCTTTTGTTCTTTGTCTCTACGCGACTATTACAATCTATTACACTCTAATTATTACACTTTGTTTCACGAGCTTATGAAAACCACTCTAAGCACTATACTAGTTATTAATAGTGTTGATTAAATAATATTGCATATATAATAATAATATGTGCAATATTATGCACAGGCAGTCCAAAACCTCTCATTTTTATTCAAGGTGATGTTTTTCAGATCAAAACTGGGACGAGTTGTTCAAAACCCGTTTAGCATTAATCCATGGTTAACTCCATAGGTTAGTTAACCCAGGATTTGTAGTGGTACTCGGGCTTTGAACAACCTGGCTCTGGTGTAWGAAAGCACCCCTTAGTTATATAGTGAACTGCATTTTTAGTMTTTTATTTGTACCCATCACCAGTAGTTTTCAAGGAGTGCAAAGGGTTAATTAACCCAAGGAAAGACCAATGTTTGTAATTATTATTGAAGTCCCATATTAAGTCAAACTACAAATTCAGAAGATGASACTTGTGGAAGGGAGGTACATGAGAAAAAAAAGTAAATGAAAAGTCAAAATCTATTGCTAATTTCTATCATGTGAAACATATTAG